GAAAACCTACCTATAAACTAAAAATTGCTGTATATGAGATGTGTAATTTCTATTGTCCATATAAGGATGAATTGTATGTAAGCATGAGACACATTTTTGTTATGTGACAGACAAAAGCTCACATCAAACTACTGCATAAAAAGCCAATTCATCCGTTGTCTTCTGTTGAGATGGATATGCCCATCTTTTCGTCAGGACATTTTCACGCGAAATTAAACACACAGCAACAATCACTTCATCTGAAGAAACTGCATCGCCAAACTGTGTAGGACGAGCTGAAATCCTTTTCGTCTTTACTTTCCCATCAGAGCTGTTGCTCAACTTCTTGCAAGTAGTCTGAATATTGCTGAGCATTCCCATTCTGTGGGTCCTCTTTTTATGAGTAGGTCGTTAAAACGACGATGTCTCATCCACTGGACGGGGACACTTTTGTCAGAAATCAGAGCAGGTGAACATGAATCTTAGCTGGTACACATCTCGCAGTCTTGACCGGCTTATGGTCATATTTTGAAGACTGTCACCTACTCCTTCAAATGGTCACTTCTAGAAGGAATTGTCCTCCAAATATTATCACACTTTTGTGCTACATTCTAAACAAGTTGAGGCAATCGAGTCGGATCCGGCTCATTGGTAGACCATGGGCAAACCGATGCCACAAGTACCCTTCCGTGGGAGATTCTCGTCCCGCCAGCCAATGAATGTGTCTCAAAGCCTGTTGTCGACGCTAACTACGCTGAATTACTGACACATTTCTGCAAAATAACTTTTGGCAACATACAAGCACAAAATATGTACACACACACACACACATACACACACAAAATGGTCTACGCAAGCGAACAAGTAGTTTTTGCCGACGAATTTGTGCTCTGATGTTCGTAATTACAGTAGTATATGCGAGCAAAAGTTGGATTTCGAGCAATCTCTTTATGTATAATAGTCTAACTCAACTCCATTTCGATTTGAAGCGTGTGTATTAAAAGAGGTGAGGCCAATTCAAGAATTCTCTCCGCCCACATTTTCAAGCAAAAGGAAAATTACGCCAACTTTATTGGTTTCGAGGACTCACCTAGATTACAATTGTTGTTGGGCTCACTTCACGTCCGAGTAAAAACGTGTACTGAAGAAAGTAGAAGTTAATGGTCCTCAAAAGACGATGACGTATTCCTAGTTGTCACCATGCTAAGGCCTCTTTTTCGATTCCAGTCAAAACGTGCCACAATTCGACGACCAGCTGATGGACATCATCAGAATAGGCTATCATTTGACAAATAAATACAAGCTAATTAGCCAAGAAAATTTATCAGTTTACCTTAAATGCAGTCTATATACCCTAAATCTATACATGAGGTATAAAGTGGATTTCCCTAATCGCTCCCCGTCTATACTCGGCTAGCATCGCTGGTGCCTTCGACCGGATCTATGAGGCGACGATGGAGCAGGAATTCCGCTACCCCTCGTGCAGATTTCTGTAATAGTCAAGACCATGTTTGTCTACCTCAAACGATACATGCTTAGGACGAGGCATTAAGAAAGATTTGGTTTTCGAGAGTCGGATAATGGCTTAAAACGTCACAACTTTTTTTGGAGGAAAAGTTGGTTGGAAAGAATTGGAGGAATGCGATTGGAGGAAAGAAACCAAGTTTTCCTTTTAAAGTAAAAATTAAGTCCTTGCTTTGTTACGGAGCAATCGACCACCAGATGATCTTGTCGACTCTTCGGGCTGATGTAGCTCAGGCTGGAGTCTGCACCCATAAACGTTTTGCACCAACTTTCTGACAACACAACAGAGGCAGAGCAACGAGCACAAAGCTCTGGACATATTTCGTCCTGTTTCGCCGACGATTTCTACAAAATCTAGCAAAAAAGCCAACTTCAATATGCCTGTACCATTGAGGCTTAAAGTGAGTGCCTTTACGACTCCACCCAAGTAACTATTGGCATCATCCGAGTCCGGTGACATTCGTTGATAATGTACGAAAAAAACGTTGATCTTGGACACCGGTGCAGGCCCCTTACCCAATTCCTCAAGTTGATGACTCGCCATCACCAGCTTTCTCACTACCAACACAAGTCCAACCCGAGGCGAGTGTGACCCAATGCCAGCAAAAAAGTCCTCCAAATCCTCTCCTCTCTTCTTTTCTCTTATCCTCTCTTATCCTCTCATCTCTTCTCTGCTTTCACTTTTCTTTTTTTTTCCTCTTTTCTTTTTTGTTTTTTTCACTTTTCTTCAGTTTTCTGTACTTATCTTTTCTTCCCTTCTCGTATCTTTACTCACACTTTTTCTTCTCTTTT